GTGGGGGGGGTTGGTTTTTGAGGGGGATTTTTCACATCAAGCTTATTTTTTGGGGTGGCTTTAAAAAAATTGGGGGTTGGGGCCAAAGGGTTTTGTTAGTGGGTTTAATTGGTAAAGGACCTCCCTAGTAGGGGCCCACAGGCCCCCTTTGCAGTGTTCCCCTTTTTTAAGTTCTTATGGATGGAACGGGGAAAAACATCCCCCCAAAGGGCCCAAAGAAAAGGGAACGAGACCTGTGCATCCCCCCAAACCATAATTTTTCAACCCCACCCCTTTTGAAACGGGGCCCAACTACCTAGAAAGGGAAGACAGCAAAATTCCCCCATATTTAAAGAAAGGAAACAGAAAGGGGCACTAAACAAACAGACCGTGCCCTCTGCTTGAAATTTTTCAAATTTCTGGGGGAAGATTATCAGGGGGAGAGGGGGGAAACCCGGGAAAAGGAACTAGATTAAAAGGGAAAACCACCCTGGGTTCATTAAAAGGAAAATTTCCTTTTGTAAAAAAACCCCCCGGGATTTTTAGACAAGAAACGGAAGAAAGACATGAGAGGAGGGGTGGGTTAAATTGAAATTTTCCTAGACTGGGGAAAGGTTTTTTGACACAGTTCCTACAAGAATTAGTCCCAAAAAGCTGGAGGATCAGGGCATATAACAGGGGGGGCACTGAAAAGGATCGGGGAAAATATCGAAGGGAGGCAGAAAGGGAGTCATGGTACGTAAAGGGGTATCCATTGGGCGCCTGTGACAAAATGGGGGGTTTCCCACAGGGGTCCGGTTCTGGGAAACAAGTGCTTTTTTGATATATGCGAACGACATGATGAAAGGGAAAAGACTCTGAAGTGCCCCCATTTTTTCAGATGATGTGAAGTTGATGAGAAGAAAATTTAAAACGGGAAAGAGGGAAGGCAGGGGGTGGGAAGGACCTGGGCAGGCCCGGACATTGGCCAGAAAACCGGTTTTCGAATTTTAATCCTGCCAAAAGCAAAGTCTGGGAAAAATTGGGGGAGGGGCAAAGAAGACCCAGACAAAATATCCCCTAGGGGGACAAAGACACAGACCTCGCCGGGGGAAAGACCTTGGGGGTGCCCTAACAACGAGCAAAGTCCCCCAGAGGCAAAACATCAACCAAAAAAACTGGGTGCGCTAAACCCGGGGGGGCCCGGCAAACCTGGGAAAAAGCGTTCCGATACCTTTATAAGGAAACGTTTTTAAGACACGTACACTGGTTTTGTTAGGCCTTAAATGGGGTATTGGGAGCACCATCTGGAACCCACAAAATGGTCAAACATGTCCCAAAAAGTTAGAGAAAAAATCAAAGGTTTTTCAACAAGGCTAGTCCAAGCTCAGGGGAATGTCGACGAGGGAAAGGGTTTAGGGGGGAAATTTGGGCGACGACAATGGAGGACAAAGGGGCGGGGGGGGGACATGATAACGCAAAAAAGATACCGCGGGGAATAGGGAAAAAAAAGGTGGACAGAAAAAAGAAAGTTTTCCCGAAGGGGGGCACAGAAACAAGGGGTTTACAATGGGGAAACGAAAAATCCAGATGATTTACAAGGGGTGTTAGGAAGTATTTCTTTTAGTCCCTAGAGTCGTCAGGAAGGGGGGAATAGCCCTTTCAAGTGAAGTAGTGGAAAGGGAGGAACCTACCCTAGTTTTTTAAAAAGAGGTTTTCCCAAAACTCAGGGAACAGAGGGGGAGGGGGACCCGGGACGGCCAGTGAAGGGCGGGGCCCCGGAGCTTTTTCGACCCAGGGAACCACATTTGGGGGAGAAAACACACGCACAAACCCCCACGCACATACACATACCTTTTCGTAATGAAAAAGGCCCAATTTCTAATCGACATGTGTCTGGGCAAAAAGGTCTCTCTCTCTCTCTCTCCTCTCTTTTTCTTTCTTCTCTCTCTTCTCTCTTTCTTTTCTCTCTCTCCTATCCCCTCTCTCTCTATCTTTTTTTTTTTTTTTTTTTTTTTTTTACACGGGTTTTTAAAAAGGTTTTAAGGGGTCCCTAGCTTTTTTGACAAAACCCCCTTTTCAGGTTTTTTGGATTTCCCAACTTTATTCACTCTTTAAAAGTGTTACCTACAACAGCCATTTTAAAGGGATTTTTATTGTTATGGGGACATCAAGTAGGGGAACGGTGAAGTTGGAGCCAAACTGTGGGGGCCCGCCTTTTCATTTGATCAAATGACTTTATCTCGTTGACAAACATTATGCTGTACGAATGTGTTCCATACTCGAGTCATCCTGGGGATGTATTTAAACCAGATGGAAATGAAGTTCTGGAGAAGGGAAAAGCCCGAGTGAAGTTGCTGCTTTTCTGCCCCTTGTGGGATAAAAGCTTGTTTCATGCTGTCCCGAAGTGGATCCAAGTGTGGGTATTTTTTACAATATTGGCCTTGTACATAACAGTAAGGCCACCCCATCCCTTATGTTTTAAAGGCTTGCTGAAATGACAGATCTATCTATCTATTATCTATCTACTATCTATCATCTATCCTCTCTCTCTCTCTCTCTCCTCTCTCTCTCTCTTCTTTCTGTCTCGTCTCTCTCTTCTCTCTCTCTCTCTCTCTGTTCTCCTCCTCTGTCTCTGTCTCTGTCTTCTCTCCTCTCTCTGTCTCCCCCTTTTCTGTCTCTCTGTCTCTCCTCTGTCTCTCTCTCTGCTCTCTCTCTGTCTCTCCTCTGTCTCTCTCTGTCTCTCTCTCTGTCCTCTCTCTCTGTCTGTCTCTTCGTCTCTCTCTGTCTCTGTCCCCTCTCCTGTCCTTCTCCTCTCTCCTCTCTCTTCCTCTCCTGTCTCTCTCCCCCCCCTCGTTCTCTCTCTCTCTCTCTTTCCTTCCCCTCTTCCCCTCCTCTCTCTCTCTCTCTCCTTCTCTCTCTCGTCTCTCTCTCCTCTGTCTCTCTCTCTCTCCTTTTCCTTCTCTCTCTTCCTCTCTTCTCTCCCCCCTTTCCCTCTCTCTGTCTCTCTTCCCCTCTCTGTCTCTCTCTCTCTTCTCGCTTTTCCTTTTCTTTTCTCTTTTTCCCTCTCCTTCTCTTCTTCTCTCTCTCTTTCTCTTCTCTGTCTCTCTCCTTCCCTCTCTGTCTCTCTGTCTTCTTTCTCTCTCTCTCTGTCTCTCTCTCCTTCCTCTCTCCTGTTCTCCTGTCTCTCTCGTCTTTTTCCCTTTCTCTCTCTCCTTCTCTCTCTCTCGTCTCTCTCTCTTCCTCTCTTTCCTCCCCCTTCTTCTCTCTTCTGCCCTCGTCTCTCTCTTTTCCTCCCCCCTTCTCCTCTCTTCCCCTTCTCTCTCCCCCGGGTTTTCCTCTCTTCTCTCTCTCTCTCTTCTCTCTCTCTTCTCCCTCTCTCTCTCTTCTCTCTCTCTCTCTCTCTCTCCCCCCCTCCTCTCTCTCTCTCTCCTCTCTCCCCCCCTCTTCCCTCTCTCCTCCCCTTCTCCCATTTCCCCCCCCCCCCCCCCCCCCCCCCCCCCCACACACACACACACCCCACAAGAGTGGGGCGCCTGGGGACAAGCGGGGTTCCACAGGGGTCAGTCCTAGGACCTGTGCGTTTTGGTATACGTGAACGACATAACGGAAGGGATAACTCGAAGGTCCTTTTTGAGACGATGTGAAATTAATGAGAAAAACGAATTGGAGAGGGATAGGCAGGATACAAAGAGATCTGACAGGGTACAAGCCCGGTCCAGCAACTGGCCCTTGAATTTAAACCTCCCAAAAGCAAAATCATGAAGATTGGGGAAGGGCAAAGAAGACCGCAGACACAATATAGTTTAGATGGCCAAAGACTGCAAACCTCACTCAAGGAAAAAGATCTGGGGGTGAGTATAACACCGAGCATATCTCCTGAGGCGCACATCAATCAGATAACTGCTGCAGCATACGGGCGGCTGGCAAACCTACGGATAGCGTTCCGATACCTCAGTAAGGATTCGTTTAAGACTCTGTACACCATCTACGTCAGGCCCATACTGGAGTATGCAGCACCAGTTTGGAATCCACACCTAGTCAAGCACGTCAAGAAATTAGAGAAAGTGCAAAGGTTTGCAACAAGACTAGTCCCAGAGCTACGGGGATTGTCCTATGAAGAAAGGTTGAGGGAAATCGGCCTGACGACACTGGAGGCCAGGAGGGTCAGGGGAGACATGATAACGACATATGAAATACTGCGCGGAATAGACGAGGTGGACAAAGACGGGATGTTCCAGAGATGGGACACAGACACAAGAGGTCACAATTGGAAGTTGAAGACTCAGATGAATCAAAGGGATGTTAGGAAGTATTTCTTCAGTCATAGAGTAGTCAGGCCATGGAATAGCCTAGAAAGTGATGTGGTGGAGGCAGGAACCATACATAGTTTTAAGGCGAGGTATGATAGAGCTCATGGGGCAGGGAGAGAGAGGACCTAGTAGCAATCAGCGAAGAGGCGGGGCCAGGAGCTGTGACTCGACCCCTGCAACCACAAATAGGTGAGTACAAATAGGTGAGTACACACACACATGTACGTTCCTGTGCACATGGACACATACTCTTACACTAACACAGGGAGAGGAATTTTTATTTCTGGGTCTGATACAGTTTAAGGGTTAATCTGTTTATAGATGGGGTTATCTAAGAAGTAATTCTGCTCTGCCCTCTTAAATGCCTCTCAAAGTCCTTGTTTTTTTTATATTTCCCTTTTATGCTTTTTCTTTCCTGGTATTTTTCATGATCTTTCTATTTTGTCCTCCTTGTCTTTTATTACGTTCTTTTGCTCCCTTTCAATTTTCCTATTTCTCTTCTCTTGCTCTATTGGTTTCTGTTCTGTTTGATTATCTATTTCTGCATTATATATCCTAAATGTTTATCAAGTATTTACATTTCATGCATAATTTTTTTTCACAATTGAGATTAGGAATATTAAAATTCTTCCATATCCCTGGAGTATTTTTGTCTGAATTTCCTTGGAACATTGGTGTGTCTTGATGATATTACAGGTCGTTTACTTGTATATGTACATTTTCTAACAGGATTTTACAACTGATGAATTTGACTGACACATACCTGCCACAAGGAGGCTGTGAACGGAGAGAATTAGCTACAATATCATTTTTTGAGCAGTTCCGGAAAATTTACGTTGGAGACCAAGTTCACAAGACATCCAAGTTCTATCGGCGTCTTTCTGAAATTCTTGGACTTAATGATGAGTCCATGGTTTTAGCAGTATTTGTTAGAAAAATGTAAGTGATTTAAAGAACTTAAAATTACCTACAATGTTATACTTTCAGACTCTTCATAAATTTTTAATATAAATGTTAATTATGGGAACTCCACACTAATGATGACTGTTATAAATAACATAAATTGCAAATCATCACTGGAGTGATGATTTGCAATTCATGTGATCATCACTAGAGTGATGATTTGTAGTTTTTATTGGAAGAAGTTGTTTGATATGTAGGTGGAATTAGGATGAAAGGTACTAAAAAAAAAAAAGTTGTGAGAGGTAGAATGTAACCAGACCAAATTAAATAATTAAAAGGTGTATGAAAACTTGGGAGTAGTATTGAAAGTTTGTAAATATGTGGTCTTTATGGTGTTATAATGCACGAGTCCCTTGAGGGAAGAATTAAATGACGCTTGGATAAGGGATATGTGAACACTGTGAAGTTCTAGGGGCTGAAAAGAATCTTTCTCTCTTCAAAAATCTTGAATTATGTATACAGTAGACCGTTATATTTCACAGTAGATACGTTCCTGAAGAAGCCGTGTTATGTAAATCTGTGTTAGATAAACTGAAGAACTTGTGGGAAAAATAGGGTTACAATCCTGGGACCCCCAAAAGAGCCAAACAACTTTTTTTTTAGACATCCAGATCTTACGAAAATAAAAATGATAATGTTATTTTTGTTGCTTAAGACTACAAATGCAACAGAAATAATATTTACCTTAAATTGTGGTTGCTGGTGTATGTCAGTGATTGTGAAGAGAGTGGAGATGCATGGTGTGGCCCTACTGGGCTGAGGTGGATGGTTGTTGATTGTCGTCAGAAGTGGATGGTTGAGGTTCTGGTACTAAAGTCGATGGTTATATTGGAGTGTGTATAAATTCTCTAGTGGATCTCTAGGTTCTTTTACCCTGCAGTACATTATACAGCTGACAGTAAGGCATCATTAGCTGCTCTAGACCCCATTTGAAAGCACTGCTAAATTTGTCAGGGTCCTCTTCATTGATAGTCTGCTAGTTTAGCAGCAACATGGGACTGCTCACGTAACTGCGGCAACATTAACCCTTTCATTGTTGGTCCCATAATATTTATGACTTGCAAGCCAGTCTCTCTCCCATAATAGTATGCCAAAATTCTAGCGACTTCCAGTCTTGCAGGAGAAACCTGGTAGGCCTACATATGCGAGAATGGGCATGAGTGGTCAGTGTGTGCAGTATAAAAAAAATCCTGCAGCACACAGTGCTGCAGGTTTTCGTGTAAAACTGCGACTGCGGTGTATTCTCATTTTCTTGGTCTCGTTAGATAGAATGGAAGATACGTATATTACAGAACTAAAGATGATTTTGAGTGGTTTACGGACTAAGAGTACTTTGAAATTGAGCTTGAAGTTGCAGAAATGTTAAATTTTTGCTGATGTTCAAGAGCAAACAAGTCATGTCATGTGCCCAATACACATCAACTAGTGGGTCTAATATGCTTTCACAAATGTGCTGATATTATTTATACCATTTTTACAATAATGCAGTAGTATGTATAAGAGTAAGTCTTCTATTTTTTGTGTGAATATAAATTCAAAATGGAAATCAAATGTAATATAAAAGGGGCCTGGAGACATGACTAATGAACAGAGAAAATGTTATTTTAGTGCTAGGAATGTTTGCATTGTTAATTCTGGACTCGATTTTGAAATTGGCCTTCCTTTAATTGTGTATGAAATTGGCCAAATTACCAATTTTTAATCACTTTATTGGGTAGTTAAAATCGGGAAATGGGTGGTTTCTTGTACTCAGTCGATACAACAAAAGGACTTCTAGCGAAATAGCTATGAGTTTGGTTGACTGGAACAATGGAATTGGCTAAAAATAGGGCTCAAAGTGGGCAAAATTGCCAGTGCGTAAATATCGCCAAGACCGCTAACTTCGCGAGAGCGTAATTTTATGTTTTCCATTAAATTTCATACTTTTGGTCTCATTACCATCGGGAAAAGATTCTCCATCATTAAACAAGATTTTTTTTTTTTAATTCTTCGATAGTGAGATCAAGTTTGTGAGGAAGGGTCTCGACAGCAAAAGGGTTAACTGTTTTTCTTCTGGTTCTTCTGTTATCTGGCTCCCTTGTAT